AAACGTAGTTTTTCAGAACATTCGACTCAGATATTGTTACCTACATATAAGCAGTTGTTAGATAAGGTAAGAAATGAATGATATATATGCTTGAAAAGATTTTATACTCGAATATACCAATTATAATACATATTTATCTTTTAGAGTGAAAAATCCCTTAGTTCATTTCAAAAACTAGATTGTACAATATGCAACCCAGATATAAAAGATTATTATAGTATTTCAACTAGAATTTTAGAATTAAATCGTAAACTTCTAGGAAAGATTATATTAACACCACAGGGTAAAAAATCTCTAAGCCAAGGAAGAATTGTGATCATTAACAACAGTGTATGAGCATTTTGTCTGGCTTGAAAGTTTTACTACGCGGATTTTATATAAAATGTTTAATGTTTATTTTAGTCCTACAGAAATATTGTTGGTACTATCCTAAAACCTTCCTCCGCAAAAAATGAAAAGTCATTTTTGGTTTTTATGCTCTTAGGCGATAACATGCTGAATGCTGAAAAAGGTAATCCACTTGATGATTTGATTAATATATAATTATCTTTTTTTTATTTCATATATCCAAAATTGATTAATTGATAGCTCCGTTACCGGTCACCCGAGTTTTTATTCCTGATGTAAATACTTGTTTTGGTGAAATCAAATCTCTTCATTACACGGATCTTGCCATCATTACAAAATCCGTAATTAAAGTAGGAATTATAACACTTTTTGTTTTTTTTTTGCACTCTTTCAAAAACTTTGGCTTTATATTAAACATCGTCTTTTTAAATATTTAGCTGGACCCTGAGGCTTTAATAGAACGAGATCTTCATGTAACAACTAGAATAACACAAGAGTTGTGGCGTTATGCGATGGAAACCCAAACGGGTATTATATCTAAGTTTGTACTTGCAATGTAAAGCTATAACCGTTAATGATATAATTATCGACTAATCAATATTTTTCTCAGCTGGAATTATTGAAAATGAATGGACCAAAATAAAAGATTTTGAATTTCAAAAAAATTTAGCAGAAAAAAACGAATTGATGAATAAATTGCTCAATTTCCAATGCAATATATGTCCTGATTTTACCGAACATGTAAATTTAAAAATTATCGTTTTAAGTTGTTATCGACATGTCATTAACGATGCTTTATTAATAGTATGGACATGTCCATGATGAACGACTCCTTGAACTTAACCATGAAGGTTTAAGGAGCTTTATGTTGAACCAAAATCTTGCATTATTACCGGATTATACTCGAAGGACTAAAGTACTGGAGAAATTACAACATATTGACCAATATGGCACCGTACAACTAAAGGGACGTGTCGCATGTGAGGTTGGTGTTCTCGATCAATTTGCAAAAATGATTTATTATTATTATTATTAAATCCTTTTTCATAACTACAGATTAATTCAGCTGATGAATTAGTCCTAACCGAACTAATCTTTGAAAATGCTTTCGCTGATTATGACTATTCGGAAATTGTAGCATTGTTGTCTTGTTTTATATTTCAGGAAAAGCTGGAAGGGAAACCAGAACTTATTCCTAAATTAGACGAGGTAGGTAATTGGTTCCTACGTTCATCTTGATTTCAATAATTTTCTAATTTATATATAAATTTCCTAGGGTAGACAAAAAATTTGTGACTTCGCACAAAAAGTATATGAAGTACAAAAACAATGTAAACTCACTGATGATGCTGGTGATGCTAATGTTAATGATAATGTTGATCTTATTTTTGATGACGTTGTTGATGTCAATAAATTTAATTTTGGCCTCGTTGAGATAGTTTATGAATGGTCAAGAGGGAAGGTACATATAGGTCATTTTATTTTATTTTATTTTTACATTTAGTTATAGTTCATATTTACGAAACCAATTCTTATCCTTTAGGATTTCATATATATAAAAGGTCTCACTGAAGTAATGGAAGGTTCAATTGTTAGATGTATTACTCGATTGGATGAAACATGTCGTGAAGTAAAAGACGCTGCAAAAATAGTAGGAAATTTATCATTATGTAAAAAAATGGAAGAAGCACAAAGTTCTATAAAACGCGATATAATATTTGCTAAAAGTCTGGTACGTAGTGATAAAATTTTAATTCTTAAATTCTAAACGAATATATATATATATATTAATCTTTATTATTACTATAACTATCACCATTATTTAGTATTTTTGATACACTATATTCTGTTTTGTGGTTTCGGGTCATTAATCTTTTGAGCTGTTATATTTCGTAATATTAAATATCTCTTAGTTTTGTCTATAAAAAATTGTATACTCTCGGATGAAGAACGAGTCCAATACTGCAAAACAGGAAATAACAAAACTGGATGATTTTCTAAAAAGTTGAATTATATTTTAATAGTTAGGTTTTGTGTAAAACTGCATATATATTTAACAAAATAAATATCCGGATCGGGGGGTTTTTTTTTTGTTTAAGCCTTTAAAACTCAATTATTTTTTATTAAAAATCCTAACCTGAATCCTAAAAAAAAAAAAACAAAAAAACCCCCAAAATATGCATCGCAAAATCTTAACTAATTCTAACTTAAACGAACTTAAAGATTTTTTTGTGCGCTATTTCACTGTTACGTGTAGTAAAATTTGATGGTGACGCAGGAGAAGATTACTATTGCTATCGTTACACTTATAACTCTATATAGTATTTGATAATCTTTTATAATCTTTCACGATAGTAACTTGCTCACGTGAAATTCAAAACTTCAAAAAAAAAAGGTTATTTGATCTTAGTTATCTTATTTTAAAACTTAATATAAGGACTTCATATTAAGCATAACTATGGTCCAAATTGTCTCTTAATGGAAACATTCGATCTCATTATATCTTCAACGCTTATATGAAAAATACGTTTCCAAATTATAATCTTGCAAAATTTCAGATTGAAAAAATTTACCGATCCGTAAGCAATATAAAAAATTTGTGTAATATTGTTTTTTCAATAGAAATAAACAACCAATCAAAATAAATTTCTGTCTTGCTTTTCGAAACGAACGTTTTGAAATTTCCTGATCGCCTTACGTTACACCTGATCCTTTGTGGATTAGGAGATCTGCACCACAATGACCGACACAGAATTCTTGGGCGCATTGTGAATTGCAGTAAAAATCGATCAAAATGAATATACTCTCAAATCTTACGTGCCGGTGCAATATTTAACAGAACAACTTTAAATATAACACAGATTTATAATCGCTCCTGCAAGATTATTTTTTAATTACTAATCGAAAAGAATTTGGAACTAAAATATAACGATAACCTAGTTAATTACATAATTTTTTTTATTCAATATAGCAGGAAAATAATTAAAATAAGTTTTATTAAATATGATTGCGAGCCAATTATATTAAAAAGTTTTTTTTTTAAGATTTTAAAAAAATTTGGCGATAATCGCAATTGTTTAATTGTCGTTTTTTCCATCGGTACTGTACATCTTGGAATATCTTTGAAGTGATGATGAAAGATTATCATTTAAAATTAAAAGATCCTCTGTAACAAGATTAAAAATTAAAAATTAGCAAAAATAAACAGTATAGACCACAAATTACTTAGGAGTTGCGCAAGAAAATCGAGATATCAAAGTAGCTGTGTAATATGATGGAATATAAACACATCAAATTTTGCTGCTGCTACACTTGGTCAAAATCAAAGAGATTGAAATAAATGCTAGTACAAGAATTTTAGGTCTGTATATAGAATTTCGTACATACGTATGATAATTGGTATGGTATTATCTTCATGTGTGCGAATAGTAACCAGTGATCATATTACAAAGCTACAATTGTATCTTCGACTATGCCCCTTTACCCAAGACCATAATTAAGTGTACAAACCAAGTAATTCTTCTTCTATCACGACTGTAATATACGATCTTATTTTTTCTTGAAACTTTTGGCATTGATCATGTAATTGCTAAGAAACGGTAGTTATATATTAAAAAATGCATTAACACAAAAAATCACAAATTCAAATCCACAAACCTCTATCACTTCATTCGATTCTATATTATTATGAGAATCGGGTTTTTGTTCTTCACTAGACAACATTTCATCAAAGACTTTAACGTATTCCTTAGCAATTCTCATGTCTTCGTCCAAGTTATCTAATCGAATGTCAATTCCTATTTCTGAAGAATCTGTAATCATTACGTCATTCATAGCTTCAAAATTTCAAGTACACTCGCCCATCAAAGAAAAACATACCATTGACTACATGCCTATTATTTTGTGGTTTAATATCAAAATCTGGTAATAAAAAGTTAGAATCGATATTTTCTAAACCATTTTGTGCTAATTCGGTATTTCTAACACATGTGCGAAGAATATCTCTGGAAAGTCCAGCTGCTTCTGTATCATTTGGCTTTTTTTAAAGACGATAGAATGGAGGGTTACTTTCCCAAAAAAAAAAACAATCGAATTATCCCAGTTTAATAACATTTAGCAACTTTAACAACTTTAACAACTAACCTGGACATTGACGTCCAGAATACGGACACTATAATTCATTTTTATAGACACTGCTAAGGCCATGACGCCTGCGATATCAATACCCGGATTAGCTGTAAGGTCCAAATGGACTAATGATTTAGTCTCCGGAAGATATTCTGCAAGAGCAATGGCACCTTTAAAAATGATAAAGTTGCGAGTTATTGAATATATAATATGAGCATTAAACCACCATTTTTTTTTTTTTGGTATCAACCTTCAGTTGACAATTGTGTATTCGACATAAATAATATTTTCAATTTGGTATTTAATGACAAGGCATGGCGAAGCGAGGTTACCTATAGCGAATGAAATAAAAATGAGTTATACATTTGAAAATTGAATCATATTTATTAATTTACATACACCTTCGATTGACGGTCCTCCGATAGGATTTCGACTTATATCAAGCAATTCTAAATGACAGTTGTGTTTCTAAAAAATTAAAAGTAAAATATTTTTATTCAAGAGTAATACAGTAATATAAAGCATTAATGGTTCACATACCATGCCATCGGCAATAAATATCAATCCTTTAAAGTCTATGCGATTTTCTGATAAATGTAATTCTTTCAGGCTTTTATTCCTCCGTAATGCTTGTGAAATATATTGAACACCACCCTAGAAACAAACTAGCTAAATCACTATTCTTTAAAGTCGTAATCTTTAAAAGACACAAGACAATTACTCTTATGTCGTTGCCAGTGGCATCCAATATTTCTAAACCGTGTTTCCTTAGACGTGATCCATGTTCTTGTATTTCTGCTGGTTCGTTTAGTTCTGAAATCACAGGACTAGACAGTTCATCGTCTGCAGTGTCATAGTCTCGTAACATTACACCGACCCAAACAGCACCAGCATAATTGATACGATTATATCGTAACGAAAGATAACGTAAATTAGATCGACGAATACCGGGACCTATATTTAATCATATGTATTGTCAGAAAAAGAAATAGCTTATTAAATGATAAATCTAGCTATTATGTTAATAATAATATATAAAAATAACATAAATGAATAGAAAATTACC